GTTATTATAATTGTCTTAGATGGTTATTGTATTTATAGCTTTACCTTGTGTTATTTAGGATTTCTTATCCTCAAACTTTATTTATATTTGTTACTTTTTGGGTTGGAAGTACTCAGAATACTCCCTTCATCTTGTGTGCAGATCTAGGTACACCACAGGGTGAGTGAGGATTTGTTTAGCTGAGCAGCAGTATTCGGGAGTATCGAGGTAGCTGCATGGCGTTCGCAGCCTTGATCTCTCCCATCTATCTTTATCCTTTTATTCGTATTTTCTTTCGTAGACAGACTTGTGATTAGGTGAATATTTTGTATTAGAGGCTCATATTCGTGACACCAGATCTGTGGGCTATTTAGTATTTTATTTTGGGGTTTTTCGGATATTAGAAATTATTTCAGAGATTCCGCATTTAAATTGTTATTTTTACTTGTGAATATTTATTTATCCATCTAGGTTATTTGGTTAAGGTTGTGTAAATGGTCGGGCTTGCCCAGCAGTGTGTTGGGCGCCATCACGACCGGGGTTTTGGGTCGTGAAATCCCAAAGGTGACTTCCCATTGCTCAACATACACTCTGATTGACAACTGTGCCAAGCGTGAGCTCCAATCCTTTGTGGATTGCTTCGCAGGATACCATCAGATCTAGATGGATGAAGAGGATGCCGAAAAGATAGCCTTCATCACACCAAGGGGAATATACTGTCCAAAATGATGTTGTTTGGCTTGAAGAATGCTGGAGCCACCTACATGAGAGCCATGACAACCATATTCCACGATATGATACACAAGGAAATAGAGGTGTACTTGGATGACGTTATCATCAAATCTAAAAGGAGTTCGGATCACATAGCAGACTTTTTTTGACCGGCTTCAAAAATACAATTTGAAGTTGAATCCTATAAAATGTGCATTTGGAGTCCCCGCTGGAAAGTTGTTAGGATTCATCGTCAGTTGCCGAGGGATTGTGTTAGACCCATCAAAAGTCAAAGCTATGCCAAGACTTGCCACCTCCAAAAAATAAGAAAGATGTGATAAGTTTTTTAGGGTGCCTCAATTACATCAGCCGCTTCATAGCACAATCAACTGTGATTTGTGAGCCAATCTTCAGAATGCTAAGGAAAGATGCTGCAACAAGATGGACTGAAGAATGCCAGAAGGCTTTCGACAAAATCAAGGAGTATTTATCTAAACCGCCCGTTCTGGTCCCACCAGAACCGGGGAGACCTCTGTTGCTTTATTTGTCCGTGTTAGATGGGGCTTTTGGTTGCATTTTGGGACAACATGATGAACTGGAAGAAAGAGCAGGCGATATATTATCTGAGCAAGAAATTCACGCCATATGAAGCCCGGTACTCTTTGCTGGAACGCACCTGCCGTGCGTTGACATGGATAGCTCAGAAGTTGAAGCATTGTTTCTGTGCATACACTACATATCTCGTATCAAGGATGGATCCGCTAAAATACATCTTTCAGAAATCCATGCATACGGGTAAGTTAGCAAAGTTGCAAATATTGTTGAGTGAGTTCGACATCGTCTATGTAACTCAGAAGGCAGTCAAAGGGCAAGCATTGGCGGATCATCTGGCAGAAAATCTCATAGACGGAGAATACGAACCATTGAAAACGTATTTTCCCGATGAGATGGTGTCACTTGTAGGAGAAGATATCACCGAGGCATATTACGGTTAGAGGATGTTCTTCGACGGAGCAACAAACTTCAAAGGAGTAGGTATCGGAGCTATCTTGGTATCAGAAACCGGCCAACACTATCCAGTATCCGACAAAACTCACGTTCCATACACCAACAATACGGCGGAGTATGAGGCCTACATCTTGGGACTCAGGTTGGCCATTGACATGAATGTTCAGGAGCTGCTGGTAATCGGAGAATCAGATCTATTGGTGCACCAAGTTCTAGGGGAATGGGCTACGAAGAACACCAAAATATTGTGATATTTGCACTGTGTACAAAAGCTGATTAAGAGGTTCACAAAGATAGAATTCAAACATGTTCCGAGGATCCAGAATGAGTATGCAGATGCGTTAGCCACTTTGTCTTCCATGATACAACACCCAGATAAGAATTTCATTGATCCTATCCAAATAGGAATTCATAAGTAGCCAGCTTATTGTGCTTATGTTGAAGAAGAGATTGATGGAAATCCGTGGTTCCACGACATCAAGGAATACTTGGCAAAGGGAGAATATCCAAAGCACGCTACCCATACTCGGAAGCGCACGCTTCGAATATTAGCCAACCATTTCTTTCAAGGAGGAGGAATTCTGTATAGAAGGACTCCTGACCTAGGATTGCTGCGGTGTGTCGACGCCAAGGAGGCATCCAGATTGCTCGAGGAAATATATGCCGGAACCTTCGGACCCTACATGAATGGCTTCGTCTTGGCCAAGAAGATACTAAGGGCAGGGTATTTCTGGATGACTATGGAAACAGACTGCATCAAGTATGTTCAAAAGTGTCACCAATGCTAGATACATGCTGACATGATACGACTACCACCCAGTGAACTCAATGCAACAAGTTTACCCTGGCCTTTCTTCGCTTGGGGTATGGATGTCATCGGCCCAATAGAACCCGCTGCTTCAAACAAGCATAGGTTCATTCTGATGGCCATAGACTACTTCACAAAATGGGTTGAAGCTGCATCTTATAAAGTTGTAACTAAGAAGGTTGTAGCGGATTTTGTTCGGGACCGCATTGTTTGTCGATTTGGAGTACCGGAGTCAATAATTACTGACAATGTCGCCAATGTCAACAGTGATTTGATGAAAGCCATGTGTGGAAGATTAAAGATCAAGCATAGTAGCTCCACAGCATACAGTCCGCAAATGAACGGAGCCGTAGAAGCCGCCAACAAGAACATCAAGAAGATATTGAGGAAAATGGTGAACAATTACAAATAATGGCATGAGAAGCTGCCATTTGCTTTACTTGGATATCGTACCACAGTTCGCACATCAACTGGGGCAAGATCTCGAGTTTGCCCGATTTCATCACGTTTGGAAATTCAAGGAATGTGTTGCCAGGAGTATGCATTTAAACTGGGGCAGAATTTTGAGGAGGACCCTCAAAACTCAAAAGCAAGGAGGTTGCGATGTCTCGAAATGCGTTACAGTCATCAGCTCATCCAAATTATTTGATCTCGTGCATTATCACATATTCAAACAACTACATTTCTGAAAATAATAATTTGTCAAATACATGCATGTTTTTCGAAAATTTATTTCTATGGCAGCCAGACGTTACCCAGGGTAACTCAAGCAGGGCCTCAAGGAAAAAGGCAAAGCAAGGAAATGGAGAGCACGAACCAACCGTTCCCCCACAAAACTCACAATTTTCTATGAATGCACGCACAATGAACATAACAGGAATATTCGCAAATACGTATACACAGAAAAATCGCTATCTTCATAACGACAAAGTTGCCAAATGCAAACACGTCAAGCTAAGAAACACTTTACTCTCTCGCAGTTATTCATTGCTTTTCTTGCATAGGGCTAAGCACTGCCCTCATCATCGCACAAGGCTAAACACTGCCTTCTTTGCATGAGACTAAGCACTGTCTCCATTTCTTGCATGAGGCTAAGCATTGTCTCCATTTCTTGCATGAGGCTAAGCATTGCCTCCATTATCGCACAAGGCTAAATACTGCCTTCTTTGCATGAGACTATCTCCATTTCTTGCACGAGGCTAAGCATTGCCTCCATTATCGCACAAGGCTAAACACTCCCTTCTTTGCATGAGACTAAGCACTTTCTCCATTTCTTGCACGAGGCTAAGCATTGCCTCCATTATCGCACAAGGCTAAACACTGCCTTCTTTGCATGAGACAAAGCACTGTCTCCATTTCTTGCACGAGGCTAAGCATTGCCTCCACTATCGCACAAGGCTAAACATTGCCTTCTTTGCATGAGACTAAGCACTGTCTCCATTTCTTGCATGAGGCTAAGCATTGCCTCCATTATTGCATAAGGCTAAGCATTGCCTTTCCTTGCCAGAGACTAAGCACTATCTCCTTTACTTGCATGAGATTGCCTCCATTATTGCATAAGGCTAAGCATTGCCTTTCCTTGACAGAGACTAAGCATTGTCTCATTTCCTTGCATGAGACTAAACACTGTCTCCGCTACACTGCATAAGACTAAGCACTTCCTCTTTCTTCGCATAGGGCTAAGCACTGCCCTCGTCTCATACAAGACTAAGTCTTGTCTTGTCTCGTCCTCGCATATGACTAAGCATCACCTGTTTCCTCTATCAAATGATCGATATCGTCATATCTTTGCATTTCATGGGCTGAAACATCGCCACATTGTCCGAAGGCGTCATAGTCCGAAGGCACCATCCTCATAGCCTGAAGACACAATTCCATGGCCTGAGGATCTCTCGAAACTGCACATCATTATTCAAAGGCGTCATAGTCCAGAGGCACCATCCTCATGGCCCGAGGACACCATTTCATGGCCTGCGAATTGCTTATCATATGCTTCATGGCCCAGGACGTCATGGTCTAAGGACATCATCCTCATCGTCCAAAGACAACCTTCATGGTCCAAAGGGAATTTGCATCATGTTTAAATTTTTGCAATATCCCATATATATTCGTATGCGCCGTGTTTTGAGTTTTGCAGGTAACTCGAGACGTAATCGTTCTGCAAAACAGGAGCAATTTTCGCTCCGCTTTCCGTTCACAACGTTCACATCCTTTGACTACTTGAAACTTAACTGACGGCTGATATTAAACATCCGCTAAAATGAGCTGATCATTTAATATTAACTAACAACTACATTTCCATAAAAATTAGATAGAATCGTCACTCGTTTAAGGTCTTTTGAAGCTTTATTACCTATGTTAATGCTGGCCTTCAACATAATATGACTCTTCTCTTATCTCAGTTTATATCAACTACTTTGCAAAATTCACATAAACAGTATAGAAATTGATAAATTAGTGCCCCAAATAATTAGTATATGAATATCTGAAACCATATAAAAAACGGTCCACTACCATTGATCTGATACAGATAAAGAATATATGATCATCTCCACATGATATGAAGATCAACACATTAATAACAAACTCTGTTTTTCACAACAAAAAAAAGGTACTACAAAATCTCCATACCTATCTAGCAAAGGGCAGCACCTTTAATTGAACTAAGCTGGTTGATATACTATAACTCTATTTTATGAGAAAACACTACTGTATATTGATCAGCATCTTAACGACAGTTACAGGAGGGCTATCATTTGGCAAAATAGGTCTTATCCAGCAATGAGGACCGCAACCAAAATGCAAAAGAATAAAAATAAAGTGGCTGCAAAGGAGTAATACTACATTTTTGTGCCTCCGCCATCCGACATGAGAGATGCAGCTGCAGTAGGAACAACCCCTGTTGACACACCGGGTTTTGACAAATGGAGGAGCCTGAAAAAAATAGAAACCATTTGTATGTCTACCAAATGATAGAAATAAGTAAATAAACTAGTTTCCCCTAACAATATATACCAGGTACAACCAAAGGCAAATTCAAGATTTAAATTGCCTGGGTTCAACCTTTAGGTTCTGACCCCATTATACTTTTGAAATTATGTGTTCAGATATTTGTTAAAATTTTGTGATTTTTTTTACATATATATTTCTATGCTCTGTCGAAAGTACTAATTCAGTTCAACCCATTATGTATATGCTCCATTCACCTCAGGGTAACAAACCAATATAAAGGTACTTACGGTGCAAGATATTCACAGAAGGACGATACAGCAGCAACAACTTCAGTGTAATTTTCAGATGAAGCAGGTGCTGTCACTTCAACTAGCTGTATGCCCGGTGTCACAGGCACTGCCTCATCAGTTGCATGAAGTTTCAACATCTTGTTGATGGATGAAACTGTAACAGTTATCTGGGCACCTCTTTGGAAATGGAATGCAAAACCAACTCTCAGCTGCTCGTGGTCTAGCTTGTAGCCAAGTGCATAAAACATGCGCAATGCGTTCTTGCTTATTTTGCTTTCTATCATCGGTCTCACCAAGACTGAGATTTGTTCAGCACCAGTGCCTCTCATCGGACCACCAACATGTCGAACAGTCCTATATTTAATTTCACACAAAAATTTAGGCTTCACATATCGCCAGAGCTAGGCAAAGTATGAAACAGATCACTTACCATGTCGGTTCCGGCTGCTCAAGATCACATAAGAGACGTATTTCTGATGCTACTAAGCCTGAGAATGAGAAGTAACAGACTTCATGGTTATAATAACCCAAGGAGAAAAGTGTGGGAGGGAGAAAAAGGAAAAATATAAAATGGAGCTTAAGTGGCCTTTTGACAAGATATGACATGTCAAACAAGCACAAGTATCTCATCAATAAACCATGATAACAAACAACCTTCTGTAAAAAAACAGGGCAGTCAACAAGCTAATGAACCCAAAACCATGAATTCCTCAACTTACACATAAGATGTACTGAGCAAAAAATACCTACACATAATTCAATGCAATAATTGCCATGTCGCGCCGTAATACAACTAGAATGAGATGGACCACAAACTAGAAAAAAATAACTATATCAAACAGCTAAGGTAAGAAGGCTTCCTATGGATGCATATATGGTTGCCAGCATTTGTCTCTATCTACATACATGACCATTGAATTAGTGGTTCCTAGTTCCATAGTAGTTTACGAAGAAAACTCACTTACCTAGGTTTGGAACACTCTTAAGGCACAGTTTATGGATCCTTAAGCTTTGTTTATGTACACCGCAAAGCCCTTGAAGCAGAATTTCAAGGGCCTCAACATGCTGCAGATATGGTTAGCACTGTCAAAATCTTATTCAGTATTCAATTGCTAAATTCCATATTCAACGCCATAAAGTTAGCAGGCACATTTTTGCAAGAAGCGAAATGTGCTCAGTGAACTTACTTGAGTCTCAATAATTCCCTGAACCACACACTCCATTCCCACTTCAATTTATTCTAATTCACATGCAAAAGAACCTTTTGCAACGCACCTGTGAGTCCAAGAACCAAAAGAAATTAAGTTGAACTAAAGAGTGAAAAGGAAAAAGTTAACACCTAACAAAATTATAACCATGTCTACACACTTCATATGAAGTGCATTGCCTGAAGATAGAAAGAGCAATTGCCCACCAAAGCCCAGAGTTGAGGAAAGTGAAACCAAAATGCTGCACCTACAAACTACAAGCCTACAATATAGGACTAAATTCCTAATAGCAAAGACATCGTATCAGTTATAGATTAAATCGGATCCACAAAATGGCAAATGCTCTCAAAAACATAACTTTCCAGCTAAAAATACGTTAAAAATGACAAATGTTTAACAATAACATTATAATTTAAAAAAATAAATTTGACCTCAAAAAAATGAAGGAAATAGAAAAGCAAAATGAATCAGAAAGAAAATGTTGGTAAAAGAAAACAGAAAGAAAACAATTAAACGACTAGCAGCTTTCTTTCGGTGGAGCAAATCCATGATCTGAACTTTATGGGTTTGAGCTCGTGATTCTCCCACAACTTCTTTGATTTACTGGGTACGAAATCAATTACAGGTCTGAGCCAAAGCTACTTGGTTGGGATAAACTCATAACTTAAACTGTGCATCCGCCCCTATTTCCCTCCATTACACCTTGAAAGGAAGAAAAAAAAAAGGAATCCAAATTGACTTGTAAAAAATCACAAAGAAAGATGAAAAATTAAGAGTAAATTAGAGAAGAGGCTTTCTTTAAGCAGTAGGAGAAGGACACAAGGAATGCAAGAAACCCAATTCGTTATTCCTATTTATGATATAAGAAAAAATAGTGGAAAAGGGGATCAGTGTTTTTGCTTCATCACAATTGTGACCCAATTCACCACTACTATTGTACCGTCAAAATTTAGTAGAAAAAAATAAAGGGGGTGGGAGCAACAGGGTTTTACCCTATTAAGAAACGAAGAAAAGAAAAAAGTGGAGAGGTAAGGTCAGAGTCTCTGATTCAGAGAGGAACGTACGAGGAGTTTGCTGAAGAAGAATACTGTTTAGCACTTGGCATTAGCGGCTTCCCAAGTGATTTGGGTTCCAGAAGGCTGCAAAACCTCAAAATAATAGTGGACATGGAGCTTAAGGTAGGGGAAATTTATTTTGAAAAATCTCATTTGGGTTAAGTTTGATTTGAAGTTGAAAATGTGTATGGACATAGGTTTTCAAAACATATTTTTCAACTTTATTTTAGAAAAACATGTATATAATTCTCAAGTTTTGGAATTTTGGCCCAAAATCCGCTCTGGGATTTGGGATTTGGCCAAAATACGGGCAAAATTTATGGCCAAACATGAGTTTTGACAATAAATCCCAAATTTATTTTAGCAAAACTTATGGCCAAACGGGGCCAAGAAAAGAAAATTTTCAAATCTTGTTCTCTTAAATTAATAATATGTGCAATATACTAAAATGTTATTGAATCATTTGATATTAACTATGCAAGATAAAATGTTGAAGGCTCGGAGTTAAATAGTGACTAGATTGACATGGAGCTACTATCCTTTTTTTAGACAGACTAAAAAGAAAAATACATACCCCTTCATTCTCTAAATTTATGTAACACTTCTTTTTTGAAATCTGTTTAGTCAATCCCAATGAGAATGGCAGTTTCCTATATTTAGTAATATATAACTTTAAAATAATAATTTGTAGCCACACAAATATCTATTACTTATTTCGACCAAAAGTTTCAAATTAAGCATTCAGTCAAATATTATCATATAAATTGAAATAGAGGGAATACTAATTAGTTTCAATTTATGTAAAGTTGTTCTAGGTTGTTACGTTGGAAATAGGAGGTGTCAATTTGATGTAAAAGTTGAGTCTTTATCATACATATTTGGTATTAGGCTCTTGTCGATATATTTCATATAATTGTTGATTATGCATATATCATTAGATATGCTGCTTTGATGCATTGTAAATGCATTGGACTTCTTTAGCTGAGATAGGTTGCATCATCATCATGTGTCCTATCTGTACATATTGTTATATACTTTAACTGTGATCAACTTTCTTTTTGCTAATAACTGTGATCAACTTGTTATACTGCTTCTGTGCATTTTCTCTATCGGTGCTTTGTATATGAATTGCACAAATTAAAGTGACACCTCGCCACTATTTCGTTGAAGTTAGTCTTGATACTTACAGTATTGTGTCAATTGAAATATTGTGAAGTACGACAGCAAGCGTTGAAGAGATACCAGTGTTTCATTTGCAAGCTGCAATCTTGTTCATGGTAGTTTGGGACTGGTATATCTGTTTTTACTATTTCAAAAATATATTGTATTTTCGTATCACCATTATATTTTCATTCTTAGTTGCTCATGACTTATGACACCAGTTCTTTGGGTAGTTATTGTAAATTTTGCGATTATAATTGATTGTTTATATGATTATATTCTATTGAGGTTACGCTTTTATTAGGTGGTTCGTCTAATAAGTTGGGTTAGGTGTCATTACGACCTGATGGGATTTAGATGGTGACACAGTATATGCTCGCCAAGTTTATAAATGACACACTTTGATGAATCAAAATGGAAGCTTATTAGCATAAAACACATAATATTTTGATAGGGTCAAAATAGTAACCTTCCTTAGGGATGCTATTTAGAGATTAGCCATTACTTATTTTGTACTGAAATTCTAAATTAAAAATCTCCACTTCAGGATAATTCAGGATAATTGTGTCCCAAAAAATTAAACTAAAAAACTAAAATTCAGGACGCACTAGCTAATTAGCTACCGAGTGTCATTTCCACGAAAATTGTGGCGTGGAGGATATTTGACGGAAGATTTAATTTGAATTTGTGGCCCATTATTAGTTAGATCAATATTATATGAAATATGTTAAAACCCCAAATAAAACACATAATATTTTGATAGGGTCATTTTCCCCTAGTCAAATGATAAGTGGTTATAGGAAATTGTTTCATTTGACGCATAAATCAAACGACTATCATGTAAAAAACATTTGATTCCGTAACAGAAGAAGGAATATTGTTATTACGAATTATTAATTATTATTCCTTTCAGGTTGTCGTTATAACCTTGAGAAAAGTTCTAGTATTCTATGGAAGTTAGATCATGGTCTTAAAAAGTACACGAAAGTATAAGAACAGCAAAGCTAGTACAACGTCCAAGTGAATTTGGATCATATATCTACTGCAAGTGCTACTAAATATGCAATTATAATTAAGAACCAAACATTATTACAAACTATAATTCAGAAACGCAGAAGTTCTCACCATTTATTCAAACTTAAGCAACATAAATTGGTAATCCAATTGAAGTAGAAGAAATTAAGATCTTCATAAACTATAATATGGTATAAATTAACGTGGTTTATTTGTTCATGCCAGTGGCATTTTTAACGGCCTCTGCTGCTTCTTGTGTTTTGGTCGTCACTTGCTGCCCCACCTATATCAAAATATCACCGAAATTAAAAAGAATATTTTTAATATAAATAAGCTTTAAAAATTTAGATTTATTGCAAAGACTAATATATAGAGGATGCTGGGCGAAGCTAAGATTTTGAGATAAAGGAATTTAGACTCTAAAAAGAGGTTATCGGGCTCTGGATAAATTATTTCTATAAATTAAATGAATTTTGAAGAACTAATCTAATTAACCGTTCACTCAACCGCTTAAACTAAAAGTAGCCGGCGCATATATAATGTATGTATACCGAATAAGAATAGTAAATAGTAAATTTGATCGTCTATTTATGTAAATATCATGTTTGATTGATAAATGAATAATTAACAAAGTTTGAACCTCTTGCGCTGTTTCCTTGGCAGACTCCACAGCAGTCCCAGCCTTCTCCATCAATTGACTACCTTTTTCCTGATGCATCACAAATTCATAAAATATCACAGTGTTATCTAGGAAGTAATTGCTAAAATAATTAAACTTCTTTTACGTATAGACATCTAGAGTGACAAAAAATAAGACAAATTTCATGCAGAAAGAAAGAGTTTTTTCGTTACAAAACGATACTGGTGGTGTCCGAAATCCACTAAACATTTTCACCAATGAAGTATCATATAATTCTGTTATTTAATGCTTAGACAAATCCAACAAATATTTTTTATCTCTATTTGTTATTATTTAAAGTCATGGCCTCCTATGATTTTTATCAACTTTATTAACTTAACTATAAGCTCACTAACCGGAATGCTAAAATAATAATAATAATAATAATAATAATAATAATAATAATAATAATAATAATAATAATAATAATAATAATATTTAAACAGATAAAAAAAATCACCAACTAAAATTAAAAATCGCACGGAAGAGATAATGCAGATTAATGCAAACCTGGGCTTGGCCCTTAGCTACACCAACATCGTAGCTCAATTTCTGATTTTTGTCCATGGTTTTTTGCTTTTGAACTTAAACTCCTACAGATCTTACAATTGCTTATGGATGTGTTTTTCGTTTTGCAAAGACTTTGTATTTATAGATTTGTAAGCCAATCCAATGCTGACATCTGGGCATCAAGATTTTTAGATATGTGGTCATTCTTGGCCACAGGGTACCAGGGAAAGGTTTTTTGTTTTACACTCTGTATTTATCTATTTTAATGCTAATCCAATGCCGACATCTAGATTTTTTTACGAAAAATGGTAAAACACATTCTTGGCCACAGGACTAGCAAGAGGTTTTTTGTTTTACACTCCAGTTTCACTATAAGGATAGTTTAGGAATCTTACTTGCTTTAAAGATATTGTACATCCTAACTGTAGCACTTGTAGACGCTGATAAGTTTGCCAAAATTGCAGGGACCCACCTGAATGTCTTACGCCACACATTCGCTGCAGCATTTAAAGCAGCCACTTCCTGATCATGTGGGCCACACTTTGGATACTTTCTCTTTAAATTTGTAAATATAACTACATTGCACAAATCAATTTTCTTTTTATAACTATCCTTCTTTCTTCATAATTTTTACCGTATTTTAATTCATCACTCAAAATTGTATTGGTAAAAAAGGGTACTCTGAGAAGAATGGAATTTAAATGTGCAACTACCAGGAAGAGCAAAAAATGCTCTATACTTTCAGTTTCATGTACACCTTTTTGAAGAAAAAACTTTTTTGTTTTCTCACCAAAAGAATGGAATCTAAACGAAAATATACTTAGATAGACAAAAAGAGTTAGTACATAACTAGGATATCTATTTTGACATGAAGAATGGTCGATTTAGCCACACTTATGTCTAATTATTAAATATTAATCAAGATAAGTTTCGTGTGAAATAATTTTGTAATAAAAAATCAAAGAAAGAATAAGAAAGAAACAAAAAAAAATATTCTATTGCAATTCTAACTGCAAGTGAACTTATTATCCTTGCATACGGGATAAATTTTTTTTCTTTCTATATATAGGCTAAGAATATGAGAACTTAGACGAATTCACTCCCAAATTTCATCATGTACATTCTACTGTATTTTATTTTAATTTTATTTGTTAATAGCATATGCGATAGATTATTTTTCAAATGAATCCATCATTAACAAATACTCTACAATATTAAAAATACTAAGATAGCATATATAAGTACAAAAAGTGGCAGAATCTTCTTCGTTTTCACATTTGAAGTTAAACTTCGAATAAAAATATGTTAGAAAGGGTCAAACAAATCACCTTATAAGTACCATTAAAAAAGATTATGGCTATATCTATTACGTTGGGTCCGTGCACAGCACGGGCATACCCTACCTAGTTTTAAGATAAGTGGTAAAACATATTCTTGGTATTACGAGGGACTTTCCGGTGCGTATTTCCTGAGAGCAGAGCAAATTTAGACTTGACGAAATAAACAACTAAAGTTAAAGCTAGTAAAATAGTCAATAATCAAGTCTCCGACAAAAATTTGTTGCTCCCAAATGCACACGCAAGTATACATGATCGTACAAATAATAAAGTGATAAATCGAGTGTCGAACCCATAGAAAACTTGTGTTAGCTACCCACTAGTTTCACCAAGATTATTATTCAGTCGAGTCAATCAGAGTTCAAACGTGTGATTATACTAAGCAATAATTCTAACAAGTTACTAATTAATCAAGCAGCAAAATAATTATTGTGTATTCAGTAGAGATGAATATTCCAGGGTTGTGATTGATTCACAAATCCTATTATGTTCTAAGTAACTCTCCCTTTCATACAATTACCTCATGATTGCTAATTAATCGAATAATTGTTCTCGTAGTATTCTCCTGAATTACTACCCGCCTATTCAAAGTAAATTAATGCATATATGCCTATGGAATCAATCTATTAAGAACAAAGTAAGATTACAATATTCAATTGAGCATGGTAACTAGGTATATTCCCATCCTAACCACAAATCCGCCCTTCACTCAGAGTTAAGACCATGCCCTCTTCAACTCTTCTCTAATCTAGACGTAGCATTCTCAAGCATATCATAGATAGTAAATAGAACCTAACTGTTGGACAGACAATGAATAAATTAATCACAGAATTAAAGAAACAATCACATATTAGCAAACTGTAATCAAGGTTAAGTCAACTTCAAACAAAAATATTCATCGTTAAATCACAACCCCAGAATTATGAGTTTTAGCCACTCATGATAAAATCAAAACAATTTCACAAGTGTTGAATAGTTGAAAATAGTAAGAAAGATGAAGAAAAACTGAGAATTCTTGCTCCTGAGTATTCCGTGTGTGTATTTGTCTTCTCAAAGTGGCATCTCCCCCTCCAAAATAGATTTAGGCTTGCTTTTATACGAGTTGGGGGTGTCTTGAATCGAAATAACCTTGTCACGGTCGAGGTAGGAGAAATTACCGTCACCAACGCCCAAGGTAGGGTGGGGCACTAGCCCTGGCGCTGGGGATTTTGAAGTTCTGATTTTTACTCCACAAGCCCCCCACACTAGCCTGGACGCTACTTTGTGGCATTTTTCCCATCTCATTCAATTTTTTATTCAACTCACGCACATTCGTCTCACATTGCCTTCGGAGGATTCCTACATATAGAAATATCACGAATAGCACAAATCATTACATTACACATCTGAAATCTATGAAACATGAGTAAAATGCGAGGCAATATGCATATAAATATACATACTTTAAGCCGAATATCATTGTTATATATTGATCTTTTACTTGATATACCTTATTCTATGTTAAGCTTACCTAGCACTAGGGTTATGTGCCCTCACGACTAGGTGGATTTTGGGTCGTGATATAGTTTAAGCTTTTTGATGAGATGGACACATACTTTAACATGGTATTGAGCAGGCAGAGGTTCTTGGTTCGAGTCTCACAGCCACCCAATAACAAAAAAGAATTTTTACGTGCTTGGCTCAATAAAAAAAAAATCAAACGCTGCACGTAAGGGGGAGGGGTGTTGAAGATATAATTAAGTAAACAAAAGTGTGCTCATTCTACCAGTTTAAGCTTTTAGATGAGATGATCACCCATTTCAACAAGCCCAAGGTTGACTTTTGTTGACTTTGTTCAAAAAATAATTTTCTTAGGGTATTGAGTCATATGATGTTGTTTGATATCGTGCAACACTCTTTGGGCTGGAGTGGTCTCGTTTGCTGAATTTGGAGTAGGAAAAGTGGATTTAGAAGAATAGAGCTAGCCTAAGAAGAGTAAGTATCTTGCCTAACCTTGACTTGAGGAAATTTTTTCAAAAATAATCTTGTTGTTACATGCTACGTGTTTTGAAGTAACATGTATTCGAGGTGACGGGCATATACGTGTATCTTAAGGGCTTGGATGAAAACTTAGGTTTTGGATAAAAATGAGATTTGCCCACGAAAATGGTTATAGAAATTGGTAAAAATCATATATTTGACTTCATGGAGTTATGGGTAACAACTTTCTTCGAACATTTCCGGAATCCGGGCACATGGGCCCGGGGGTGAATTTTAGGAATCTTACAATTAGAGTTGGGTAATCACTTTAATAGTTGTGATATGAACTTTTGAGCATAAATTGACTATCTTATTTAACATATGACTAATTTCGAGTCGTTTGGCACCCAATTAGGGGTTTGAGCACAAATCTTGGACCGAAAAGTAGGCTTTGAGGCGAGTTAATTCTCTTTTCTAACCTTGTAAGAGGGAATTAACCCCATAAGTGAATTAATTAATATGTGTTTCTATTTGTGGGGGCTATGTACGTACGAGGTTTACGAGAGTCTGTATGTAGATACTAATTATGCTATTGTTCGGGTAGTGTAGGACCCGTATCATGCTATACTTGAAATGTTTGCACCCCTACTTGTTAATTTAATTGCTTAAGTCGTGTTCGAATTTGATAAAAGAATTGTAAAGGGTTAAATTCACCTACTTGAAGTTGTGAATGGAACACTTGACTGTGAATGAGAATTTATATTTTCTTTAAAATATTTTCTATTTGTGGAGCGGGCCGAACGCCTCGGTAGCAGGTAGATGCATCTATGGTTCTTGTCGTTCGATCCTAGGCAGTGCACAATTTAAATATTATGTTGGATCGGCTCGTACGACCTCGACACAATTGCGCATGATAAATATTTAGAATTGTTCATAACTGATATTGCTTCAATGCCTGTGATATAAACTGTTAAATGATGAGGATAAACTTGGGACTTAATATTTGTGAAAGGAGTATCTACGATTTCCTGTTGTTGAGTTTTCTGTACTATTCATGTAATACATGCTTAGTTATAATTTTGACATATTATTGTTAGCTCATAGTAAGTGTTAAAGTCGACCCCTCGTCACTACTTTTTCGAGGTTAGACTGGATACTTATTTGGGTACATGTTGTTTATGTAATCATGCTATACTTTCGCACTTAAATGTGCAGGATCTGAGGCAGGTACATCTGGGTATCAGTCCGGCGTGCTCGCTTGACTCCTGGTACGAGACTACACGGTGAGCCGCCCTTCCGAGCCGTTCTGCAGCAGCCGAAATCTTTCTGTTATTATTGTTCTGTCGATTTTATTTTGGACAGTAGTGTAGTAGTCTTTTGTATATTCTACTAGTAGCCCATACTCTTGTGACACCAGGTCTTGGCACACACACTAGTAGACTCGTGATTTTGGTTTTTATTTCATGATTATGATTCCACTTAGTTGCTTTCGGCGTTATTTATTTAAAATCTATTATTTCTTAAATATTTTTAATTTAAGTAAAGTTTAATCACTTGAAAAATTTATTTAAAATGAGGAAATCACGTGGCTAGTTCACGGTTGGCTTGCCTAGCGGCGGTTTTAGGCGCCATCGCGGCCTATTTTAAAATTGGGTCGTGACAAAGTTCATATTCTTTCAAGAATAAATATGTATTCATAAATCACATATTGTCACATTCACATCATGAATGGACCATAATCATCTATATGTGCTTTATAAAATCCCTTGTCAAATCGATGACAAATATTATTTTCACAGAGTAAAGGATTATTTTGAGAATCCTTAT